TTGTGGAAAGGGAACTTCATGAGGACAGTGGTGACACCCAAGCAGGAAAAGGCCAAAGGGAACATCAGGCCAGCCATAAAACAAACTTGCATAGGAAAAGAGATTTAATAAAAGGTATTGAAAGAAGCCCCCTAGACAAAAGCCAAGTAATTAAGAAAGCTAGGGAAACAAGAAAAAGAAATCCCTTACAAACAAAAGGTCATGCCAAATCAGCAAAACAAATAGACAAAAGACACAAAATAAATTCCATAGCAGACAGGAGATTGCCACCAAACAAATATAAGAAAACATTAGGAAGACAACCCCTGACAGGATTTAAAACATTAAGAAATACAAACATAAGCACTCACACACAAAAGGAGAAAAGATATAAAAATCAGGGGTTTATTATACAAAGATGGCTAGCCCCAGGAACGCAGACTTCTTGCTATCTCTTGCCTTCCTGAAAAATAAAAGGAACCCGCTTCCAAGCAGTTGTCTCTGTCTGTGTCCTTGCACTGGAGCCCTCCCAGCAGGAAAATCGAATCCTCAGAAGAAAGGCATTTTCCAGCCTTTCAACAATTGGCGACCATGAAGGTTTTCCAGCCAACCCTGCCACCGGACCGGGCCCACAGATCCAAACCCAGCCGGCATGGACCTTCTTTGTCCAGGGAAAACATCCACGGACCCAGCCCGAAAGGCATAAGGGTAGTAAAGGGAGTCCTTGAGCCTTTTTCTGCTCAACAGCTACTTGAAAGCAGGTGAGTACCGCTTCAAATTTATAATCTTACTAGGGAGGGGAGTGGAAGCGTGAGTGTACCAGGTGTGTGAGTGTGGGTTTTCTCTGCTGAAACAGTGGGACCTCACCTCCTCTGTGATTGCCAGCCGCACCCCAGCCAGCTGCTAGCTCCAACAAGCCGTGACCAGCTGGATTTGGGAACGCAAGGGGTAATCACAGAGTGTGAGTCCTTCTGAAGGACATAAGAAAAACCGAGTGGGCTGAGAAAGGAACTGTTGTTGGGAAATAAATAGAAAGCAGAATAAATAGTCCCAGTGCATCCCGCAAGTAAAGCCCTATGCATTTAGAAGGGGCCCGTACCGGCTGCTGGCAAACAAAATTGGAAATAGTTTGCCTTACAAAGCAGAGCAGGTCCTTCCAGATCCCCACCTTTAAGGGAGATCTGAAAACTGATGGCGGAGTGTAGGAAGGGGCCTGTACCGGGCTGCTAGGGGGTAGACGGTCCTCCAAGATCCCCGTTTTTTAGGGGGGGTCTTAAAACTGACGGCGGAGTTTCCCTACGAGAAAGGGGCCTGTACTCCGTGTGTAGGGAAACCAGAGTCCTTTCCAGACCTTTTTTGTCTGAAAACTGACGGCGGGAGCCCGGCTAAACCAAAGTAATCCCCACATCAGGTAGGGAATATGGGAAGTTGTAGCTCGAGGGCAATGGAAGAGACCCCCTTGGATAAATTACTTGAGGCTTGGGACGAAAGGCAAGTGCCTGTCCTAACTGGAATGAATAAAAAGGAAGAGAAAAGAATTTCCAAAAGTGGGCTTTATTGCGAGATGACACGGGTAGACAAATTTGATCTGATAGCGGTACTTTAGATTATAAAACCCTGAAAGCACTTAGAACATGCATTAAGCCCAGCCAAATACCCTATTGGTACTGCTGGGCTGAAATTGTTAGGACCAAAGACCTGACAGAAAAAAAAAATAAGAAAAAGCCTGAAACCCATTTCAGGGAAGGGAATACTGAGGCACGGATTATGGCTCCCCTTTTAAGCAAGCCAGTGCCAGGCAGAAATAGGGGACAACTAGAATATGTTTTTACCCACACTCCCTTCTCTGCCTCTGACCTAGTCATCTGGAAAAAGGATACCCCAGCTTTCAGGGCTGATCCTCAAACAGTTATTAAAACCCTGAAATCTATCATAGACAGCCATAATCCATCCTGGGGTGACATGACTCAGCTGTTACAAGTCTTTCTAACGAAAGACGAACTATTAAAACTGTTTGAAAAAAACAACAACAACAGACCAAATAGCCAAACCACCAACTATCCCTGGTCAGGCAGCCCCAGCCTGCATCGCATGGCCAGTACATCGCCCTGACTGGGACTATAATGATACCAATCAATGGGACAAATACACTAGAGCAAAAGATAATTTACTAGAAACTCTAGAGGAAATAAGAAAAAAAAACTTTTAAACTAGTCTGAATTTCAAAAAAACAACACAAAGGGAAAAGGAAAACCCTGATGCCTTTTGGGTCCACTTGTCAGAAGCAGCTACTGCATATGCCCACCTAGACCTTAGCTGCCTGAAGGACCAAAGGATTTTAACTTCAGCCTTCATGGATCAGTCCACCTTAGATATTAAAGAACATTTCCACCGCTTCATCTCTAACTGGCCAACCTTAGACAGCAGAGTTGCGCAGGATTGCTAACGTTGTCTATGATCAAAGAGACAAATTGAAAGAGGAAGAGAAAGATAGAAAGATACGAATAGAAAGACAGGAAGACTTTAAAATGTTTGCTGTAATGAAGCATGATGCCAGACAAATGCCAGGTAAAACCCCCTATAATTCAAAGAAATGCTGGCATTGCGATAAAGCAGGATGGTCGCAAGGCAAATGTCAGCATTGTTATAGGTGCAGACAGGAAGGTCATTTCAGCAGGCAATGTAGGCAACACCCCCCCTGCAACCGGTATCACCCACCACCTAGGAACATGAGGCCAGCCAATAATCCAGCCTGAGCAACAAAGCAACAAAGTTTCAGTCACCAGGCACCACCCAGCGCTCCCTTTCCTCCAATAAATAATAACAATAGACATCAATGGGAGCAAAGGAGAGAACAAGATTTACCCCCTTCTTGACTAGAACATGACAATGAAAGCACTGAATTCATGGCTACCTTTAACGGGCTGGCTATCCCCCTAGAAAATGGCCCAGAAGGGGAACCCATTGTCACCATTCTTATAGGAGGAAAGAAATACAATTGCTTAGTTGATACTGGAGCCACCTCCTCATTACTGAACCACCATATAAAACTTCAGTGGCTGAAGGGGCTCAGAATAGCATAATGGGAGTGGGGGGGGGGGAGAAATAATCCCTGTAAAATTTACCCACAACGTACCAGTAGAACTAGGACCTTTCACAGTAGACCATGCATTTATTATTTTCCCCCACTCCCCACTGTCTCTACTAGGAAGGGATCTCCTATGTAAAATGGGAGCTACCATAATATGTGGCAAACAGGGGCTGCAATTGGAAATCCCAGGAAAAGGCACACACAAGACAATCACGCTGATAACCAGCAACACAGGGCTTCATGAAGATTTAAAAAGCCTGCCATCCTCCTTATGGGGCTGGGATGCATCAGAAGTGGGACTACTTAAAGGAGCCATTGAGAGAGCAAACAAAGAGGTGAAGACCCTACTGGGCAAACTCTGTCAGGAGACACACCTCTCCTGGCCACAAGTGCTCCCAATTGCCCTCTTTTATTTCAGAACCAGACCAAGACAAGATATAGGTATTTCCCCCCTTTGAGATCCTTTTTGGTCACACACCCCACCCATACCCTACTAGGATCCTGATTCTCAGCCTAGATCCTCATTCTCTTTGCTTAGATAGGGGGGGATAGGGGTCTCTCTTCTTATCTTACAGCCCTGCAAAAGAGACTACAGACCCTCTGGACCCAGAGTGCACTGACACAGACCTTACCCCTGGAAGAAGCCCCGCATCCATATGAGCCAGGAGATTGGGTGTGGATCAAGTTCTTTACCAGAACCTCCCCTCTACAACCCAGGTGGAAAGGACTCTACCAAGTTTTACTGACTACACAAACCGCCATAAAGGTTTGCAGAATGAGACTCTTGGCTACATTGGACACATGCAAAGCCAGCAGTCATAGACCATAGCCAAACTCCACCACAATCAATCCCACCCATCAAACTCAAGAAAGATCGGGACACAGATCAATGGACGCTTGCAGCATTCTTCAACACTGTTGAACCACACCACTGTGAGGAACCAAGTGCAAATGTTGCATTACACAAAACTGGACTCCCAGGTGCTTAGTTATAAACTATTTTTTTTAATTTTTTGTCTCACCTCCATTTTTTCCTTTTTTAAAACCTTCTTTCATTGTATTTTTTTTTAACAAAAAGGACTTTAACCATACTTTACATTTTTTTTTCATTGCTATTAAAAAAAAAAAAAGAGGAGGTGGGGGAGGAAGGGAAGAAAAGGAATCTAGCAATGGGGAAAATGAAATGCAATATATACTATGTATTATTATCTGTAACAATTGTAACATTTGTAACACAAACAACTGCGTTCCTGGAACCAAAGCTTATCCCAGAGAAAGGAAAACATATGGGAATGTTTAGCAAGAGAA